TCTTTGCGGTGCATCCGGCTGTGGCGGGTATGAAGGTAGCATACTTTGAGAACCTGTCCACCACGACCATGATAGTTCCGTACCCGTCGGACTTGGGTAGGGAGGTGATGAAGTCCATAGTTACGCTTTCCCATTGACGTTCCGCTACGGGTAGTGGCTCCAATAGTCCTCCCGGATGCCTTTGTTCTACCTTGTCTTGTTGGCACACAAGACAAGTCTACACATAGCACTCGATGTCGTCCCAAATGCGGGGCCAGAAATAGATGGCCTCAATCAGCGCCCTCGTTCTTCGCTGCCCTGGATGCCCGGCCCACGGTGTGTCGTGGCTTTCCTTGATTATTCGCCGTCTGATGGTCCCGAACTTTGGCACGTAGACCCTTCGACCGGTCGTGAGCAAGAGGCCTTCCTCCACCAAAAAGCACCTAGTCCTGCCTTGGGCGGTTAACTCCATCAGCTTCTTGGCCTCGGGATCATGTTACATGCCATCCCTGATTGCATCTTGAATATCACAATGGGTTGTTGTGATGGCAGCAAGTTTGGCCTTCCTACTTAGCGCATCGGCCACAACGTTGCCTCTCCCTGGTTTATACTCCAAGACGTAGTCGAACTCGGCTAGAAAGTCCTGCCACCTAGCTTGTTTTGGGGTGATCTTCTTCTGTGATTGAAAGTAGCTAGTGGCCACGTTGTCCGTCTTAACTACGAACTTGAAGCCTAGCAAGTAGTGTCGCCACGTGCGCAAGCAATGTACAATGGCCGTCATTTCTCTCTCTTGTACTGTATAGCGCCATTCGGTCTCGTTCAGCTTGCGGCTCTCGAATGTTATTGGGTGTCTTTTCTGCATTAAGACTCCCCCAATGGCGAAGTCTGAGGCATCCGTATGTACTTCGAAGGTCTTTGAGAAGTTGGGCAGCGTCAAGACCGGCTCTTCTGTTATCGCGGCCTTGAGACCTTCGAACGCTTGCTTGCACTCCGCGCTCCACACCCACGACTTATTTTTCTTTAATAACTTGGTCAGCGGAGCGGCCTTTGCGGAGTAACCCCTTATGAACCTGTAATAGTAATTCGCAAGTCCAAGAAACGATCGTAGCTCGGTCACTTTGGTGGGCACCTCTCATTCTTGGATTACCCGTACTTTGGTGTCGTCCATCCGTAGTTCGCCCTAGCTGATGATATGCCCCAAGAAATGCACTTCATGTTGGGCAAACTCACACTTCTCTCGCTTAATATAAAGCTGGTTTTCTCGTAAGACTTGGAAGACTTTCCTTAGATGCTCTACGTGCACCTCCAAGGTGTTGCTGTAGATGACTATGTCGTCCAAGTACACCACCACGAACTGATCCAAGTAGGGGTGAAAGATCTTGTTCATCAGCGTACAGAACGTGGCGGGTGCGTTGGTTAGGCTAAAAGGCATCACCAACCACTCGTATGCTCCATATCTGGTCACACACGCTGTCTTCGGCTCGTCCCCTTCTACGATGCGTACTTGGTAGTATCCTTTTCGGAGGTCCACCTTCGTGAAGTACTTGGCCTGTCCAAGTCTGTCAAATAAATCTGCAATAAGCGGGATATGATATTTGTTCTTAATTGTTACTTTATTAAGCGCCCGATAGTCGATGCATAAGCGCAAGGATCCGTCCTTCTTCTTCTGGAATAATACCGGCGCGCCATAAGGTGCCTTGGATGGACGGATGTGACCGGCCTCGAGGAGCTCTTTCAACTGTTTCCTTAGCTCCTCTAGTTCGGGTAGAGCCATGCGATAAGGTGTATGTGCAGGTGGCTTAGCTCCAACCTCCAGCTCTATCTTGTGATCTACCTCGCGCCTCGGAGGTAGGGTCTTTGGCAGCTCGGCTGGCATCACGTCCTTGTTTTCTTCAAGGACTTTCTCTACGATCGGTGGCAAGGACTCTTTAGCACCATTATCTTCCTTCGAACTTGCAATGGTGGCCAAGAATGTCGGGTCTCCTTTCTTTAGGCCCTTTACAATCTGCATGGCTAACAGAAGGGCGTGTCCTTCCTTCTTTGGCACCTTGACTAGAGGTACCATGCACGACCCCTCCCGCACCATGACCATGAGTCGTTGAAGGTGGGGGTCGATCATCGTATGACAACGCTGGAAGAACTCTTGCCCAAGAATAATGTCAAAGATATCCAAAGGAGCGACGGTAAAGTTTGTCTTACCTTGCCAACTTTCTAACGTGATGCTCACTCCTTAGGCGATTCCGCACATGGGGGTCGGTGGTGCATTGACCGTGTTGAGGCGGGTGTTGCTTGGAACATATTTTAGCCCTAACCTCTCTGCCGCCGTCTTGGTCATGATGTTTGCTTCGACCCCGATGTCCACTATGGCATGAGTTGTACGTCTATTAATGGAGATGTCTACATACTGCGTGCTGAAGTCTCCTGGCTTCTCTGTCTGCTTGGCTATCGCCCCGCATAGTCTAACCATGCCCAACTGCGTCGTGCCCGCGTTTTGCCCTTGCTCTTGTGTGTCCTTCTCCTTCCGTTCGCGTAGGATGGCACCAAGGTTCTTCATCTTCGGGCACCTGGCGTAGCCGTGTGGTCCTCCGCATAAGTAGCAACCATCTCCCTTAGTGGTCTGCGCCTTCTTCTCCGTGTAATCCTGGCGCACGAACCGTCTTTTGTCTGGCTTGTGGGGGTCGTGTTGCTTAGGGTGTGCCTGCTGCTCCTTGCCTCGGCCACGGTCTCCCCCACCTTTGGTATGACTGCTCCTTGGATCCTTGCCATTTGCCTTGTCATGCCGATCATGCTTAAAGTCTGTTAAAGACTCGGCCTGTGTGATGGCTTCGTCTATGTTCTTGACCTGTCGCCGCTCCAACTCCGTCTTAGCCCAATTCTGCAACCCGTCCATGAAGTGGAACAACATGTCTTCGTCTGTGAGGTTGGGAATTTGAAGCGTTAGAGTTGTGAACTCTTTCACGTACGCCCGAATGCTTCCTATTTGCTTCAGCTCCCTAAACTTGCGCTTAACCTCATATATGACGTTGTTAGGGAAGAAGGCTTTCTTGAATTCTTCGCGGAATTGCTCCCACGTGTTGATGGTGCACGTCCTCTTCCCTATCTCGACTTCTTTGCGCCTCCACCACAATATGGCCATCTCTGAAAGATACAACACGGCAGTGTTGATCTTGGTCTCGTCACTCTTCACCCGGCTACACTTGAAGTAATTCTCCAAGTGCCACAAGAAATTCTCCACCTCTTGAGCATTGCGGATACCTTTAAACATATGTGGCTTGGGAGCCTCGACCCTGGCCTCCCTATCACGGTCGGGTGATGCCGATCCTCCAGCTTCCATGCCTTCCTTGAGTGTCCTCATTTTGGCCTTCATGGTTTCAATTGTGTTCAATGCCTCTATGAGTCGACACTCCAAGGAAGTGATGGCCTCATTCATCTCAAACTCGGCCCGTTGACGCCCCTCCAACTCCTTACAGATGTTTTCGATCTCCTCAAGGGTGAAGTCTTCAAGAGTCTTGAATTTGCCAGCGGCTACAATATTCATGCACCGACCTAATATCTCAACGGCCTGCCTGGCCACTTCAACCCTTGAGACCCACTCTTCTCCTCCGGTGACGTCGATGGCCCCATCGCCGTGTTCATTATCACTGGCCTCGGTGGTTGAGGGTGGATGAGATGTTAGCGCCTCGCTTGGTGTAGGATCCAGCAGCATTTCCTCATGGCTCTTTTGGTGCTTCTTACCCTTTCGGGCCTTCTTTCCACCATCCGGACGGATGTTGGTGGTGCTAGCGGTGTTTACGTCCCCTTCGATTGCCATTCCCTTAGTGCAAACCTTCACTTTGATACCACGTTGTCACGGACTTAGAGTGTTGGCTAAAGTTCTGTGTGGCCCTTGACAATTTACTCACTACTCTTTCAAGATCTTGTAAATTCAAGGAAGCCTTTAAGACTTGGATCGCTAAGAGAATGCTTAAGGAAAGACTTGGAAAGAACAAAGAGAGTTTTTGGAAGAAGGCTTTTGTATTGCTTTGGAGAATGTTTTACACTTGAGTGATGCCTTTGCAAATGAGTGACACCTCTATTTATACTACCTCCTAAGGACTAAAGTGCAATTAATATTTACATGAGAAGTCCCTAAGATATTTACACATTGGCCCCCTTTCTAGAGAATTCTACATAATCTAGAATTCTCCAAGGCCTTCTTGAAATCTCTAAGGCATTCTAGAGCTCTCTCTTGGACTCTAGAAACCTCCACGCCTATTTGGCTGCAAAATTTAGCCCAGATAGTGGCGGGACATGACACAAGGCCCATTACGGAAAAATTATTGAAATACACGTCTTATGTTTCCTTTATTTCTAATATCCTCTTCTATTTCTAAAAACCTCTAATATCTCTTATTTCTTTAATGTATCTGAACTACATATTAATGTATCCGAGCTAGTATTTAATGTATCCAAACTACATATTATGTATCCAATTTATTTTATAATGTATCCAAGCTAGTTTTTAATGTATCTGAGCTACATATTATGTATCCGAGCTAATTTTTAATGTATCCGAGCTACATATTATGTATCCGGTTTATGTTACTTTTTAAGAAATTAATGTAATTACAAACTAAAGAAAGATAGATTGTAATTTCATATTAAAACTATGTGATTCCTAAAATGTATCCTAAATAAAATTGGGTCTGTAAAGGTGTCCAAAATGGAGTCTGGAAAAGCTGTCCAGGATTTCTGCCAAGAAGTCGAATTATTTCATTCTAATTATAAAAATAAATTATACTTATTTAATTTTGTACTATAATCATACCAATGATTTTGTTCAATTTCCATTTTAGATAGTGAGCATAAACTTCATATTTATAAGAATCGATGATTTAATTTTTTGTGTATAATTTAAACTCTATACATTAAATCACTTATTATATAAGTAAATAGACACAAAAACGAATATATGATCTAAATTATTGTATAAGAAATATTATATCTAAAGTACACATGGCTAATAGTATTGCGTAATAAATATTATATGTAAACACATACTAATTAATATATTCATTAATTATATAATAGGCTGAACCAAGTTGATAAGGACTTGGTCTTGAGTTTCACCATCTTGGACCCCAAATCCATCTCCAGAATGGTACATGACATGTGCCATTCGCGCTTCATTTATTACATGCTTAATAATTTTTCGATGTGATGTAGAAAGGCTATTAAAATGATAATTAATCTTCTTCCATGAATTCAAAATTATGCTTTGAATATGCTCTCGGGCTACATCCTCTGAAACATTTTCTTCTTGCATGTAACATATAATTGATGAAGCCACATCACCTCTCTCTAGTTCCGCCTACAATACTCGATACAACTAATATTATTACAAAAGAGAATATAATCAACAAAAAAAAAAGAGGTTAAAGTTTTAAGATCTTACCGTTGAGGTACCTTGATCATTGCAAAGTCGAATTATAAGGGAAGTGTGGTAAATAATTTCTTGGCAATTTTTGCATAAATGAAGGTTTTCATTTGTGAGACCAAAAATGACATGTAATGAAAGTAAAGGACCGGAAGATGAAGTCCACCCATTATGAAGATAATCTTCTAGTGTTGGTATATGACCATTGTGATACCATGTTGCTTCCACTAGTAACGCTTTACAGAAGTTGACCCACTGAATTATTGCAACAATTATTAATAGGTCAGATATATATATTCATGAAAAAAAAAAAAATCATGTAAAGCACATGTAGAATAGGCACAGGTTATTAGACAAAAGAAACAAAAAAAAGTGAGTACAGGAAAATTTCAACTTTCCAATTATTGAGGTGAAAATTGGTTATTTTGGGAATTGATCTTATGTTCTTTTCATGTCATAACCTAGACAGCCGATAACTTGGATCCTTAGTTTGATACACCTATATATTTGGAACCTGCAGTTTTGTTTTTAGGTTAGGCTACGTTAATTGGATGATGGGTTTATTTAAATAATATCACTAATCTCATAAAACAACGTTAATATTAGCAATTTGTTGTTGCCATTAGTAAAGCACTTCTTAATGTGTAGTCATAGCACTTCTCTTATAAAATAATAAGACTATGTGTAGTCAAATTTAAAGTTTAAAGAAAGGTCCAATATAATTTAGCAACAAATTAAAGAATTAATTACATTCACTTTTATTTTCATACGTCCCTTAAACAAAAATGATTAGTATAAATAGAGTAGTTTAATAATACTAACCACTTGTTTGAGATGAGGTAATGGTGAAGGGCCACCTTTTTGTCGTTGAATTTCAACAGATATGTCTTCCATTGTATCATGCAATGCTTTGAAACATATCTGTATACACTCTGGTAGCCTTTGCACTTCTTTTGGATCCCACCTAATTAAAATTAGGTCGTTACTACGTTAATTATCATGATTATTGTATTTAATTATATGAATAAATTTAATAACTTGTGAGGGGACGTACTTCTCTATGGCACGGGTGAATTGTTGCACATCGGGTAAAGAAGCATAAATATCATAAACATCATCTATTATAAGTATCAATTGAATCACTTTGGTTAGCCATTTTCTCATGCTTCCATGTTCAGCCTCTGACGCAATTCCTACAGCGAAAAAGAAGCTTTCTACTATTCTGTCCCTTGTAAACCCTAAATTTTCAACTATGCAAAGATTCCTCCACCATCTGTTTAATTCGATCACAAAAACAAAAAAAATATTCAATAAAATAAATAATTGAGGTGAACGATCGAACCGTCAAGAAAAAAAAAAGATTTAATAAATAGGAGTACCTTATTACATCTTTGAGATCTTTTTGGTGTGTGGCTTGAATAATATTGAAGTTAAGTTTAGCTAATTTGAGCAACATTGGATTTGTGTTGTTGCAATTTTGAGCAGTATTAACAATGTGTGTTCTAACATCGTACCATCTCACTCTCCATGCCAAGGGATTACTAGTAAATCTGTCAACATGTAATGATAAATTTTTGAGGTTTTTGGTAGTAGACAACAATCTTATGTCGTTTAGTAATTTTTCACCATCAATGCTCAGATGTGACCCTTCCAAAAGCTCCAATAACGTTTTTACATCTGGAGGTAGTTTCCCTTTCCCATCAAACAAATCCTTCAACATATCTGCAGTACAACAAAAAGAATATAAGAATATAAAAAGTGGAAAGAAGGAAAATGTCATTTTTTTCATTAGCAAGAGTTAATATATCAAATGGTCATAAGTCGATGTTTTACGTGATAATACCTTGTGAAGCATGGTAGCCACGTTCCCTAAGAAGCCTAAAGCACAATGCAGTAGCATAGAGATCCTTTGAGTTGGAACTAGTTTTCATGTACAAAATTGTATTTTCCAAAGCTTCATTTGTATCAACCTCGAAGTAAGCACTTAGGCCAAGTTTGTCAATTCCGTCTATAAGCTCTAGCTGAGCCACTGGACTAGTAGTGTTTGAAAACATGCAACCAACTTCCTCTTTTAGCTTTTCTGCTTCAATTTTGTACTTTCCTTCCTGCACGAACAAATTATAATTACGGAGTATAGGGTCAAAAATATTTATCTACTTTCGTTTATTGGTTAAATTTGTCTTTTTGTGATACTATTGGATCAACTTTAACCATGCGGTTGTGAAACTTAATACTCACTCTGTTCCTAATCACTTGTCTACTTTTCCTTTTTTAGTTGTTCCTAATTACTTATTCATTTTGACAAATCAAGAAAGGACAAAAAAATTTAACTTATTGTACCCTTAATTAATTACTTTGAAAATGTAGAACTTCTTGAAAATCTTTAAACTTTTAATTCATCCATTTCATAATTAATAGGAGTAAAATGATAAATTCACTATGTCAATTACTATTTTTTTAATAGGTGTGCTAATTTAAAAGTTGACTAGTAATTAGAGTCATAGGAGTAAACTACCCCCAATTGGATGGATTTCCGTAGATCCACTCAAAATACCCAATTTTACTTAAATAATTACCGAATCCCTGTTTTAACCCGACCCTCTCCCCTCCATTTAATTTCTTCATCCACCTCCAACTACAATGAAACACAACCCCAAATCATATTCAAGTCACTTCAAATTTTTGCAAGGAAGGACATTTTTCCATGGAAAAGGTTTTCGTGAAAAATTAGTGGTTCTTTATTTATTTTCTTGTGTTTGATGCATAGAAAGAAAATTTAAATATTATCTCAAAAGTATTTTATGTATAATCACTAGACAAATACTATGAGAGCAAGGACAGGGGAGGATCGAAGGGGTGTTTTGGAGAGAGTACCATGTTGAAGAGCGTGGATACTGGGGAAACTTCTTTTCTCGATCTATTTTCACCAGAAAAGTCATTAATCTCCTCATTTTAGAAAAAGAAACAACATTTTCAAAATAATTTTAACAAGAGAAACATGAAAAATTGAAAAATATTTTTCAAAAACTATTCTCTTCACCGACAAACACATCCTATGAAATAAAAGTAGGCAATAAATGACTTAAGATTATGAATACTCACAGAATATTGACTTGTAAGAGAAAGTAGATGATCATATTTCCAAATGTTTGGTTTATAGGTAGAGATCCTTTCTGGATGACTTTGTTTTTCAATAGTATGATGAAGTTTCTGTGTCTGCATGGTTGAAGCAATAGAGACTATGTTTATGCAAGCCATTGTTTTAGATAATAGCTCACTGAAAGATGTGGAGGATATATATAAGCACAACTATGGTGATCTCCAAGTGTTTTTTTTTTGTCAAAATCATATTCAATTAGTATATCTTATTATTTCTATGTTATACTTTGTTTTAAAAAATCACCTATTTGACTTGACACAAAATTTAAGAAAATAAAGAACAATTTTCAATCTTGTGATCATAAATTAAAGTTGTGTCAAATGTATCAAAATGTCCTTTAACTTTGTGGTATTAATTAAACATGTCAGGCGGAAAGTTGAAATTAAAGTGTTCCAAAAAAAAAAGGATCATTCTTTTTAAGCGAATTAAAATGAAAGTAAGTCATTTTTTTTTAATTGGAGAGAATATTATATTTTGGCTTTGTTGGAGTCTCTCCTTAGGTTCTAAATATATACGTAATGATTTAGTCTTAGATGATGATGAAGAGTTCCATATCTAATTTAGAGATGAGTAATTTCTATAATATAACCTAAATCATTCTTATCTTTTAAGTTTCTTTTGTATTGAGTTAATTAATAATTAAATTCGAGATATATTTCTTTATATTGAAATTTAGTGGCAGTGTTCAAAAATAATGGTGTGTGGTTGTTAAAATAAAACAAAAAATATTGTGTTATTTAAGATTTAAACCCCGGAACTCTTTCATTCAAATGGATATCCATTTTATTACTGTGTCAAATGCATAGCTTTCGTCAAGGATATCCAACTTTGAATATATATCCTTTAAATATAGAATTTAATATATATATATATATATATATATATATATATATATATATATATATATACACATAATTTTCTACAAAGAGTGTCCAGTTGGACACCCTGGGGACGTGGCTATAGCTCCGTCCCTGTTGGAGCCCTCTTAAATAAGAAAAGCAACTTAAAAATACAAACAAAAAAAACGTTGTAAACGATACAAGATGGGAATATTATTTGTGTGGACGTGGAAATATTAAGAGAGGAAATGGCTAAATAGGCATATGAACATAAACCATGTGATATTTAGAAAAAGATATTATTTGAAATTCAGTTTAAAAGGTGTAATAGGAAGTCAAAAATATATTTAAACATGTATTTAGTTTGAAAAAGAATCAAAATTTCGCGAAGGAAGAAGATTTTTCACCCGAAAAGTATCAAAATTATTTTATAATCTGGAAGTTGAAACTAGCACATCTATAAGTTTTCTTTGGAAAAAAGTTCCACCGACAATACTATTTATTCCGTCCTAAAATAAGTGTTATCTAAACAAAAATATTATCTTAAAAAGTATTATCTTAAGAGTTCAAAGTACTTTTTTTCGATTACGCTATTACACTTAATTTCCAAAAGATATTTATTATATATATATATATATATATATATATGAATAGTTTAATAAATTATATATTATATTTATTAATTTCTTAATAAATACATATTATGCTGACACTTATTTTAGACAGGAGGAAGTGGTGTACAATTAAAAGAAGGGAAATTAGCAAACTAGTCACAATTTCTAACATAATTATTAAAAACATCTGCACTTTAAAATAATTATTACAAATGTCAATATGTCAATATGTCAATATTTTAGAAAATAATTGTATCCTAATATAATTAAAATTCTTTTCTTTTATTTCTCAAATTAGGCCCACATTGGACCTTTTAAATAATTGCAAATATCATTTATGAACAAATAAATAAATTGGTTTGAGTAGTAATACAATCCTAATAAACTATTTTAATAATATAAAATATATTTTTTCAGAAGTAAATAAGTCTATTTATACGAGATGCAAGTAGGGGTACTTACGATTTTAAATATTATCGATTCATAAATATATAAAACCAATAATAGAACTGATAGATATCATTTATCGATTATCATTGTTACCTGTTCGTTAAATTACATATTCTTAAAACAGGTGAAATGATTTACATCTAGAGAATGGGAAAGAAATGCTAAACTGTGAAAAGTGTCAATATCCTAATGTGACACCTGTCCTGCAAATTCTAAATGGAATAATGGGCTGAGAGAATTTGTCTAAATATTCTATTAAAAATGTTGAAGGAAAGTGAAGCCTGATGGAAACAGGTCCTTCCTGACGAGTTAGAGTTAGAGTCATACTAGGATTAGATTATTAAAATCTAAGTTATGTACGATTAAGCTATTGTATAGGATAGGAGTCGACTAGGATAAGGTATTTGAGTTATAATATAATACTACTCGTGTAAATACTCAACATTATTTTTATCATTACAATCTTTGATTTCTCCATATTTACGTGAAATTTCTAAAAAAAAAAAATATGAAAGGGAAACTAGGTAAATATCCATAAATACAAACTAATTTATAAATATATACCCTTTACATTGATTCTCTTCTAATTTTATTTTTTTTAATCGAAATTTTCAGGCCTTTTATTTATTAGTAAAGCTGAAGAAACATACAAAACAAACAGTACTCATTCGGTATCACTAAGGTTTCTTATTGACACCCTACTCATTAGTCAATGGATGTCTAAGTGCATTACTGTACTGCTGAGAAGTATTGATAAGTTCTAACAAACATTACTACATTAGTTTTTGTTCCTTGTGCATTACAAATCTACCGAAAATTGATAGAATTTCATTTATTCTCTATGTTTTATTTGACAGGAAAGCAAAATAAAGTTATTTCAGATCTTGAAATGAGATCTTTAAACTTAATTCCTTTCCTCTTTTAAACTTAATTCCAAACATTTGGGAAAAAGATGATGTTTGGCAAAAAAAAAAAAATGTAATATTTTTAGTCCTCCAAAAAATGAATATTTTTTTAACCAAACATAAGCTATTAGTTTGGTGGGAATGGAAAAAGAGAGAAGGAAAAAGAAAGACACGTGTCATTGTCAATAACAAGTCCAAAATTTTAACAACCTATATGAATGGCTCAGTGTTAGAAACTTTAATAAATCGAAAATAAAAATCATGTCATTTGGCCTTCCTTAGAAAAAAGAATTATATATACACAAATTTGAAGAAAATGCTGACAATCTTCTGGGAAATATATTTATTTTTTTAGAAAATATGATTTATACCCATAAGTTTTAAAAACTATCAAAACAAACCATAAGTTTGTATTACAAGTCAATTGGATCTTCGTTACAACAAATAACAAGTAGTGTCTATCAGTGGCGGATGTAGAGTGTGTCCAGGGGGGTCATCCGATCCCCTCGAAAAAAAAATTACACTATATATATAAGATCAATTTTTTTGTGTACATGCATATAGTTAAAATTGAACCCCCTGAGCATATGTCAAAGGAGTAGCTCAATGGTTTATGGGGTTCAGGATTTCGCCTATGTTTTATTTGAACCCCCTTGATAGAATTCCTGCTTCCGCCACTGGTGTCCATGACACTAGAGCAATGTGGTAGTTTGGAGTGAGTGCAACAAGCATCATTCCATACATCGTGAAGTAGACAAAACACAGACTTTGTTACCCTAAGCCGATTATTCATCATTTTCATCAATAACCATACCATCACTTTCATATCCACGAAATATTTCATCACTACTTTAGTGTTCATGTAAAAAATTATGTAATACAATGCAATCAACTACTATAGAGGGTGTTTTTGTAAAAAATAAAAGTTTGGTGTAAAATTTTAATTTTCAAAAGATCCCAAATAATGAGATTTGGCCCAAATACTAGAAAAAACTAGTATTTGGGAATTTGGGATATTTACCAAATAATAGCAAATTGTATGGATAAACACTATTTGCCAAATTTTCCCCAAATATTATTTGGAAAATCTATGGCCAAACGGGCCGTTAAGTGTAACAATATCTCAACTTCTTAAGGCAGATTCATCAACTTCTCCACATAGGACAAACTTGCGTTTATAATTGCGATCTAGTTAATCGTGTAATTCTGAAAATTTTCAAAAAGTGAGATGAAAGTTTTTTTTTTAAATTTTAATGTTTGATTAGCTGTTCAGAAAGAACTATTTACTTTCTTAAAATAAACACACAATATTTTTCCATTTCCAAAATCTGAGGAAAAAAGAAAAAGAAAAAGGTAAAGAGAGTACTATTAAATATTCGTTTGGGTATATTAAATGTAAAGTCCTAGTTTCTTTCTATTACTACTATTTTTTTAATTGTAATTCAAATTTTAAAAAGTAAAAATACTTAAGAATTTATATGTAGGCTTCAATATTACCTGACCATGTAAAAAAATATAAACACAATTACCTCGTCAATGAATATTAGTTAAACTCAACATTTAATCTTGTAAATTGTTTAAGTAAGAGAAAAAAAAAGAAGGAAAACAAATTGGAGTCTTCGATTTGGAAAAAAAAAAATTAAAAATAGAAAAGACGTTGTAACAATGCAAGATGAGAAAGCTATTGTGTGGATGTTTAGTTTATTGGCCTTCAAAACTCAACTACGTAATTCCCCTGGTCATAGTTTTAACAACTTTGTCTCAACTTTCGTTTGGTACATTGAACTTGCATTATTATTTATTTTTTTCGGAAAGAACTAAGTACTAGTTAGGATCGAGAAAAAGAATTATATTGATATTGATTCTTAGCCATTCCTCTTGTTTGTATATTTTGTGGTCCTTAGAAAAGGAAAAAAAGAACAATTCAAATGTAAAAAGTTGTTGTCAAATTATTGTGACTTGTCCCATGCGTTTTTCTGGTGTGTGTTAAAAGGTTGTAGTGGCAATACATTCTATGGATATTCCTTATAAAATTTGCTTGTGACCATCGAATACCCCCACAGAAAAAATAATATTTTTTCTGTTATCATATATATATCACTATTTTAGATATTACATGCATTAAAAAAATAAATAAGTTTACTATTTTACCCTCTTTTTTTTTTTTGGAACTCAAGTTTTTAATCAATGAATATGAATTAATATATTTTGATTAATTAATTTAACCAAGGAACATGAATCATTTACTTAGCTTTTCTAAGTTGGTCAAATGTATATTTTCAAGCCTAAT